AGATAATAAATCATGTCTCACATTTTCATACTTCTGAGCCATCACACGAATGGCTTTATAGTATCGAAATTAAAATATTATTAGACATAGTGACACAAATTTGTAATCCCATCCTTTGGGAAGCTGAGGCAGGAGGATGTTAGGTTTGAGGTCAGCCTGGGCTGCAGGGTGAGACACACACAGACCATGAAAATCATTTGCTTTTTGTCTCTCCTTCTTTACCTTGTTTGAAGTATGAGATACTTTGACCCTTTAACATAAAAATTGAAAAGTACCCCTGCTGGCATATTTGAAGTGTTTGTTTACAATAAAATGTCTCTAGCTTCTCTTAAATGGTTTGAGAAATATGTACCCAGGAACGAGAAATGACGATTCTGTCTCAAAAATTAAGTACTACCACCGATTTTCATTTAATGTAATGATTTGTAATGTAATTAATGTAATGATTGACAACTGAAATGACTTTCACTTAAAGAAAATTAATTCATATCCAATAATTCAGAAACTTAGCAAAACTGAACAGTTGAGGGATGGCTTTAGTTGGCCTATGACTTTATATAAATATGTTAAAATCGCATATTAATTAACATTTTCTCAAATAGTTTATTTAAAACAGTAACTCAATGCTTTATAGGAGCATTATTTCATATGAAGTAAAAAAGAAACAAATTCTGCTAGTTTATTGTCTCAGTAGGAAGTGTGTGCTAACTTTATCAGACAAAAAGAATTGCTGATTAAGTACCAGAACTGTCATTTGTGTTATCAATCATAACATGTCATAAGAATGGAAGGCATTTTCAGTAACTATTTAAAAACTAGCCTGTCTTATTTTGTTTTAAAAGGCACAGTGTAGCTTGACATTTCCCCATGTTTAATATACCCTGTTGGAGTGAGCTCTCTGAACGCCACGGTTTAGTGATAGATGATATTGTTCCTTGCTCCCTACATCTCTCACTGGCTTTTAAGCTTATTAAATATGTATCATTATTAAATAATTCCTATTCAACCCTGCTTTTCCCAAAGACATCTTTTGCCTTTGGAATTGTTTAAACTTTTGAGTGGAATGTTTTCACAGTGGAGTAACTTTTAAGCCTATGACCCATTTTTGGTACTGCCTAACATTCTTTCTCAATCTGTTGCCAGGAAACATCTCCAGAGGCACCCAGGATGCATGTTAAAAACATTCTCAGATGGGATGATGAATCAGTGGGTAAAACACTGACCATACTGGTGTGAGGACCTGAGTTTGCATCCCCAGCTCCCATGTAAATAAATGCCAGATGGCTGCTGTGGCCTTCCTGTATGTAATTCCAGTGCTCAGAAATCTTGTAGTCAGACTACCTGTGAGGTTTGGGTTCAATTCTGGGGTCTTACCTTAGTGAGCAAGTGGCACTCAGTAAAGGAAGACTCCTGATATTAATTTTGGAACTCTTCATGAACACACATAAACCATGTATACAAACATAAAAACAAAACACATATTCATTGGTCTTACCCTGCTTTTCAGAGTCAGATCGAGCATTTTAAACAAACAACTTGAATGATTCTGTTACATGGTAAACTTTTAAGTGTTATCATACAAATGTTTCTTAATTAAAGATGTGGTGGATTTGAAGGAACAACGTTGTGAGATATCAACTCAATGAATTAACAAGGGGCAGACTTCATTTTAAAGTGGAGATATAGGGCAGATGGATGCTCTGATCCTCCTAGCCTTGAAGGGACCCTTTTGTCATGTCTGTTTTTTGAACACTTCCACTTTACTTGTATGGGCTTCTAAGAACGTTCTTGTTGGTCTTTTGAAGTAGTTGTAAGCACTTCTCTTTGCAGCTTTAAATGTGGATTTGGGATTTAAACTTGTCCCTGGCAATCAAAGATGGTGTTTAGAACACTGTAGACGAAGTTTTCATTATTTCTTCAAGGTCTCAGTGTTTCAAAGCCCATCTGATATTGGCTAATTAGCATGGTGTGTGAAGGGATACCATTAATCCTACCACGTGGTAGTTTGGATTATAGATTTTCAAAACCTAAGCGGTTCATATCAAGGCCTTTTGTGTAACTTTGAGAGGCAACATTAGTGACAGAGTGCATCTTTCTGATTGTACTATTAAGGAAGGACAACATTAATATTTTAATGTTTTATTTGTTTGTTTTAGCAAGAAAAGCCATCATTAAACATTTCTCAAAGACAAAGTTGAAAAACAAAAACTTAGGGTATATGACATTTTATGAAATGAATTGGATTTTACTTGAATGGCAAGTTTAGAAAACAAATAAATAATTCCCACATTGCTGAGTTGAAATCAATTCCACAGAAGTTGTATTTTTCCTTTGTGGTACAAAAGAATTAAGTGTTGTCTTGATATGTGAATAACTTGCCTACCTCACCCACATCCTCAGGAGATATTACATGGAGTCCTTATTAAATAACATGGTGAATGCAAGGCAATATCCCCCCCCAGTGAAATTTAAGAAAATGAAAATCAAAGGATATTGAGGGTAACTTAAGACCATGACCTTTAGTTTAGGTTTCTGGTGTCTTATCTTCATGCTGGCTGAACAGTCTCTTGGTCAATGTCTGTAGTAAGAACTGAAAACATTCCTTCTTATGATTCTACCCAGAGAACAAAGGGAGGTTTGCATAGCTCCTTCTAGTATTTCACTCCCAGGCCTATTATTTCAGGAGTTGCTTTTCCAATTTATTCCTCAATAATACAGACATATCGTGTATAGTCACAAGAAGCCATAGATTGAATATCAGTGCTGGAAATGGGCATGTAAATGCTGCTATTTGAGAAGAGTGAGTGGGCCTGAGGATGCAGCTTTGTGGTAGAGGGTTTGCCTAGCATAAAGAACTATTTCACAACTCACCAATTAGGCCAGGCTCATTGATCATCCAGCCCCAGGGACCCACTGTCTCTATCACCCCAGCACTGAGACTGATTACCTACCACCATCCCCTGCTTTTTCATGGGCATTGTGGGGATCAAACTTGGATCTTCAGGATTGCACAGCAGTTTGCCAACTGAATTCTCACTCTTGCCACACACTCTTATTTGTTAGGGTCCATCCATCTGTCCATCCTCCTCACTTCCTTCCTTCCTCCCTCTCTACGCAGGAGGAGAAGCAATGTCTTTTTGACATTAGAAATGTTTACCATAGTCAGAATATATTATACAGTTAGAGGCCTTGGATGGGAATATAAAACCAATAATAAAAATAGTGAAATAGGTTACTGTTTGTCTGAAGGGCTTTCTCATCCACTACTTAGGATGCCATAATGAGTATCAAAAATATTATGTCCAAGTTGCAGAAATACTATTACTGCACAATTTGTGTGCTATTGCAGAACTCAAGACACATCATGGTTGGAAAGTGAGTGCTGGAGAGGCACATTTGGAGAAAGACAAGGAAACTGGTCTCTCTTCCTTTTTCTTGCCAAGAGTTAAATATTAATTTACTATATTTTTTAATTAATTCACTGTATTTTTTTTTTTTATTCCAAGCAGCTTTGATCACCTTGGCCTAGAAAATCCAGCAAGGAAGGCAGTTTCATCAAGGCTATGTGTAAATGTTTGATATGATTTTGACTTCTTACTTCTTAACTTGGAAAGAGAAAATGCTAAGCAAATATTTGCACAATTTGCTGAAAGGAAATTAAAAACTGCATTACAAGTAGTCAGTTGACCACATGTTGTTTGATTACAAGTAATCTCTCCTGGTTGCCTCATTGGCTAGAAATACCTTTGCTAAGCATCTGAGGAGGACTCTGCCATAGTCTATGGATGGCCTAAATTTCCTCTTCTACCACCATGCACATGGCCGGCACACTCTCCATGGGAGTGCATCCCCCAAAGGTCATATCAAACAAGCTTTAATCTTTCTGTGTTTTAATGTAAAAGTCCTGAGGTATATGATTTCTCTAAGAGAACTTAACGGTTTATGTCTTGTTTTCTATGGTAATCAAAATATATTAAGACATATCGTCATCAGAGTCATGTCAGACACTGCCAGGCAAATGGAGACATTCATGATGGTCAGTCTGTGGCCTTGATTTTAATTAGTTATTTTACCTTTCACCAACATGTGAGTGACTAAATGCTTCTCTGTTATGTTCAGAACCATGCACTTACCACCAGCCACTGTATTCCCAAGGGCTTTGCTGGAGTTTAATAGAGAAGGGGAAACTCAGTCATTCCAAGACATTGTCAGTCTGTACATGCCAGATACTGCAAGGTGGTTCAGTGAGTAAAACATGGCTGATGACCTGAGTTCTATCCCCAAACCCAACAGTGGAAGGACAGAATCTACTCTTGAAACTGTCTGCTAACTTTCAACTACCCCATATATCCCCCCATTTATACACCCATTAGAAATAATAGAACAAATTGAAGTTAAAATTCAAAAGACTCCCATTGTAGCCAGCACTGGTGCACCATGCCAACACTCAATTAGTGTCTCTGATTGGAATTTCACTGCCTTCCATTTTTAACTTTCCCTCATATTAGGGTTCTGTATGCAAGGTGAGGGTACTAGGAAGGTTATTCCTAGTCTCAAATGAACACAGATTCAGGGGATGTCATCTGGATACCTGTGCTGTACCTGATAACACTTCTCTCTATATGGTTTTTTTTCCTTGCTTGATGGTGAAGATAAAACCCAGTTAGATGGACATAATCTAAAGGAGAAATGGCAGATTTTACTTGGTAACTGCTGACAATAGGAATAAGAACTCTGCTTGGATTTCTGTGGGAGTGACTGCATTTTTTAGAAGGATGAAAGGTCTTTTGATTTATTGGAAAGCAGGGTCACATGACTTCTGACATGTGCAGAGCATTCAGTTTCCATTTTCCCGAAAGGTCTGGTTCCATCTGGGTCATCCATCTTGGTGTATCCTTGGGAAACTCCATCTTGGGCCTAGCTGCCTTTCATTGCTGAGAGAACTTGATATTAAAATTTTACCTATTAAAACTATGAAAGATTTTGTTATTTTATTTCAGGGTGGAGATCTGGACTATAAAATTCAGGAATATAAAGAAGCTGGGAAAATCTTTCCTGAAAATCAGATAGTAGAATGGTTTATCCAGTTGTTGCTTGGAGTTGATTATATGCACGAAAGGTATGTTTATTTGCTTCTGGAAACAGGGTATATTTTATAATGCTCATGTCTGAACTTGAAAAGTGAATATTTTTATTTGAAAATAAACAGATCCAGAAGATGAATGGCTACAGCCAAACATCTGTAATATTTTATAATATGATTTTCTCCCTTTAAAAAGCTGTTGAATAATTATTTACTCACACAGTATTTAATTATATCAGTTGTATATGTGTGTGTGCATGCCACAGCTTGAGTGTGGACAGACTTTGGTGCCAGTCTTTACTTTTACCTTGTCTGAGATTGGGTACCATCTTCTCTGCTGAATATGCCAGGCCCATTGGCCTCTGAGCCTCCTGCCCCACCCCCATCCTGCCAGGAGGACTCAGGTTATAGACAGAAATGTCTACATTTAGGTTTTTTTTTTTTAATGTGACAACTTGGGATTTGAACTTAGGTCCTCACAACACTTTATGCACTGTTCCAGCTTCCCACTTTTTTTTTTTTTTTTTTTTTTTTTTTTTGTAGATCTAAAACCAAGTTGATCTTCAATACAAACTGTACTGAACATGGTGGGTGCCTTATTGCCTTATTTAACCATCTTCTGTGAACTAAGGCAGATACTCACATGTTGTTAGTAGGTCACAACAGACAAATATTCAATCCAAAAGTCAGTTTTGCTATCAAATGTCAAAGTATATCCTCTGAGTTTCGGTTATCTGTTGTTCTTGTTTATAGAATTTGCCTCAACAGTACATTTTAAAACATTATATGATCTTTTCAGATGTTAAGGTGTTACGTCATTTTAGTCCCTTCAAATGATACAAATAGATTTGTAAGAATAGACTCTCACAAAGTGGGAAGCCATGGCATGTTCATTGCAGGAGTGATCAGAACACCCGAGAACAGCCATCTTGAGTGATAGTGATATTCCTAGAGCACACCAAGGCCTGGTAGTCTGGGAATATCATTGCTTAACTGTGTCATCTGTGGTTTCTGATAGCATAAAAAGTAATCAGATTCCCCGGCAATTGGCCATATATTTGCTGAAACACTTGCTTGATGACACAGATAGTAACTAATTCAGTGTGGCTCCCAACAGTCTCTGAGGTGATGTCCTGAGATGATGATGAAATATTACATAATCTTTAATAAAGATGCTGACTGTTGGCTGCTGTGCATTCACGCTCATGTTATTATTATCTTTCCTTCCCCCCTCTTTCCTTCCTTCTCCCCCCTCCTTCCTTCCTCTCTTTCTCTCCCTCCTTCCTCCTCTCTTTCTCCCTCCTCTCCCTTCCCTCCATCCTGTCTTTCCTGCCCCACTGCTCCTTAGCATATCATTGGATATAATTATAAAACAATACAAAGATGCTCACTGTGGTGGTTGGGGGGCTATTCTGTGTACAAAATATACAAATAGACTCTGGTTAACTTAAGATCCCAATTTTGATTTGTTTTCTATTCTTGTATTTCAATTTTGTCATTTTAGTTTATGTCATACAGGGTTACATAAAGCTATTCCCATGCCAGTATAAAATACACTCTGAACACATCCCCCCAATATTTTTGATGTGTTTAAGATTACTTAGTGATAGTTAAAAATAGATGTGTTTAAAAAAAAAACCTCCAAAGGGAGGAGTGCACTTGCAGCCTGTCAGTGTTTATAAAGAGTCATTCAACAGGACTACATATGTGGATGCTACTGAATCTGTGGATCTGGAATTATGTTTTTTGTGATTCAGTTGAAAAATGATGGTGTCTCTTATTCATTATATTGTAACCATTCATTATAAGCTTCTTATAATGCCAATTTATGTTTTAATTTACTTTATTCATGTAATAGCACTAACTGACACTGTTACTTACAGTGTCATAGCTACAAGGCAGGTGGCTATACAGAATCACGTCTCCACTGCATGACAGTCTCTGAGCCTTGTTTCTTCATCTGTAAGATAGTGACAAGGAAGGGACTGTCACTGCTTGTTTTGCAGCACTGTAGGGAATGCACACTGGAATCTTATGCATGTAAGAAGTTTCTATAACAGTATAGACTGTGGTAATAATTAAATATAGACATAAGGACACAGCCAGGAGGCAGGCTTTTTTTTTTTGTTTGTTTGCTTGTTCATTTGTTTTGGTTTATCAAAACAGGGTTTCTCTGTGTGGCTATGGAAGCTCTCCTAGAATTAGCTCTATAGACCAGGCTGACCTTGAACTCACAGAGATCTACCTGCCTCTGCCTCATGAGTGATGGTATTAAAGGTGTATGCCACCACCGCCCAGCTTCATTTTTTTTTTTTTGTAACAATTACATGTGTTAATACAAGGATACAGAGAAATTTGACATTTGTCACATTACTTGTGGAGTGGCCATTATTAGAAATGCTTTGGGGAAATGTGTGACAGCATTTTCTGGACTAAACATCCAAATAGTGGGTCTATAGTCCTTGAGGGGGGCAGTGATGACCTTTTGGATGCAGACCAAGAGAATCATGGTGAACATATGGTAGACAGACATGCACTCATGTTTTCTTTGGCACTGACATATGATTAAGTTATGGAGTCATCACTGATGCCCATTATTGGGGTGGATGGGTAGAAAACATAGTATCTATATTCATCATGGGGCTTATTAGTAAAGAACCATGTGTCATTTGCTGGAAACTGGATAGAATCAGAATGATCAAACCAGGTGACATCAGATTTAGAGAAATACTATATGTTTTCTCTCATATATAGAATCTAGATTTTATAAAAGTGGGAGGAGCCTATTGAAGGAATTAATGGGAGGGGAAGGGGAAGAAAGGGATAAGAATGGTCAAAGTATACTAGATGCAGGTATGGAAATGTCATAATGAAATGCATTTTTTTTTGTACAAGTGATATGGACTGACACAAAAATCAAAAGAGGAAATAATGAGGCCTGGTCAGCAATATGTATACAAAAATGGCTGTAGAAGCCTTTTTTTTTAAAATAATGCCTAATGTACTCTTATTTTTTTCTACATTGGAATGATTAAATAAACATAAGCAATAATGGATGATCTGAATGATCCTCCATTATACAATGTAGGATGAAAGAAAGTGGATATAGATGGTGGATGTTGTGTGATTGTTCAAATCCAGGTTCAAACCAAGATGCATCCAATTGATGGTGAGTCACAATAGAGATTGTCCTTGGGAGTTTTCTATAGGAGGCTCAAAGAAACAATCTGGTATACTGAATTGTTCTGTGTGTAGATTAGGATTGAGGACTACATGGGTGATACATACATACAAATACATTAAGCTCCAGATTTTTGCAGTCCAGGGTGAGTTACAGAAAATGATGAGAGTGTCAAGAAAAGTAGATGTATACTCTATAGGAGATCGGAAGAGGTCATTCCACTCGAGACAACCAAGAAGGCTTCTTCAAAGAAGTGGCATTTGATTTGACGCAGGGTAGCTTTTGAGTGTGGCACAAGGCTTTACAGGCTTAAGGAACAGAGTAAGGAGAGGCACAGAGGTTGGAAAACAATCTATTTCTAGTGAACGCTGAGTGGTTCTGTTTGGATGGCTCTTGAGGTGAAGGTTTGAATGGAAATACGGGCAGAGAGAAGTTGGGGCCGATGGGGGCCTTGTTTTGTAGCATGGGTGGTGAATACAGTAAGAGCCTTAGTGAAACCATGTGACCAGAGCTTGCTTCAGTAAGATTAGGTGATAACTTATGGAAGATAGGTGGAGCGTGGGACAGAGAGAGGGGGAGGGAGGGAGAGACACAGAGGAAGGCAGAGACAGAGAGCTGGGTTAATAATCATAAACTTTTTATACTGTCCGTGTGGGAGGTTAGGAAGCTTGAGGCAAGGGGGCAGCAGGGGAGAGTTGGGGAGGATTACAATGATCTTTGATAAACTACAGTGACTGAATTTGAAATGAAGTAGGTTGTTAACTATGACAGGAAGGCAAAGATGGAGGCTTGGGATAGAGTGGTGGAGTACTGGTCTTAATTCTTGAGGATTTCCAGAGCTATTGGAGGTGGTTATCAAGATGATCTTGAGGTTTGGGGTCCGGGAAGGTGGGAGGGAAAACATGATGGCCACGATTGTTGTTGAGATTAACTGTGAGTATGGCAGGAAAAGTATGGAGAGGGGAGGGCTGAGAGAAGGGAGTTTGAGGTAAATCCTGGAGACGAACCAGGGCTTGCATTTGTTTTGATTCCTTTAGTATTAAAGTCCTGAAACCAAGATTAAACTTTGCTTAGAATGTGCAGTGGTTGGAATGAAAATGGACCTCATAGGCTCATATGTTTGAATGTGTGGTCCCCAGTTGGTGTAACTCTTTGGGAGGGATTACAAGGTGTAGCTTGTTGGAGGAGCTGTGCCACTGTGAGTGGACTCTTAGTTCACTCTCTCTGCTTCATGATTGTGTTTTAAGATGTGAGCTCACAGCCACTGGTCCAGCACCATACTCCCTTGCTTGCTTCCAAGCTCTCCATGATGATGGCCATGGACCCTCTGGAGCCCTGACTCCAAATTAAATGTGTTTCTTATATGTTGCCTTGGTCATGGCTTCTTGCCACAGTAATAAGAAAGTAACCCTGACAGGAGGTGAGCCCAGGAAGCAGAAACCACTGTGTAGAGAGAGAAGGGAGGGAAGAGAAAAGCGCCAGTGCATGGCTGAGCTGCTGGGGCAGGGCTGTGGGTGGAGGGACATATAGGCAGGTTTCCTCAATGCCTGCTTTAGGTTTTGAAGACCTCTTTGTGCATTTTATTTTTCAGGAAGTTGCTCACAAATTCTTGACGCTGTGTAGCTCTTATTTTTAACATTCTTAATTAATTCCCTCTTGAATTATTTTATAGTTCTGGAAATTTTTATTTAAATGGGAACAACAAATAGCTCCATTTGAGTCCAGTCTCCAGAGGGCTTTGTTTTTGTGGTTTTTGGCTGTTCTGGCAAACTGAACACAGGGTCTTGCTAGACAAGTACTATACTACTGAGTTACATTCTTAGTCCTTATAATAGCTTTTGCTTGTTAGAAACTG